ATCTGACTTCTGATCATGCTCAAAACTTGTACCAAATTTTAGCTCTTCAAAGCACGGTCACAACGGACCCATACTTGCGACGATCCGACATCGGGATCTTGAGCTATGGCCTTCCAAAGAATTGGATGCTCTCTTGTATAAATTCTGAAATTTCATGTTTCTTAGCACATCTCCTCTATAGAAAGTCTCTTATCTTGGATCACACCAAGATGCGTGCCTTATATCAAAAGGAAAAAGTTTATAAAAGGTTGCAACCTTAAAATGTGTAACTATAAATGCACCTAAAAAATCCACAGAAAAAGTTGTTTTGATTTTGAAAATCCTTCTGATTGATCATGTCGACATCGAGATGTATGAATATGAAAAATAAAAATATTTTGAGACTCATAAATAGTGCATCTTACAACATATTATCTAGACCATCCCTTTTCAAATTTTTCATATGTTAATAGATCTACTTGATTTTAACCATTCTTAGCTTAATTTGACTTAAAATGAGCAAGATATGATCATTTAAAAATCATCTCGAAATGAGAGGATACGGTTGCCATAAATGAAAATAGAAACTACTTCACTGAGGCTGCACTACAATAGTGTAAAACCCACTCTTCTATGGTAAGTTAGGCCCAGAATGGTCCTGGAGAGTCAGATTGATCCCAAATTTGGTCCTTGGGGATTTTTCAAATCTAATGGCGGTGGTTTGATATTGTTTTGAGACCCAAAAATCAGGGTTGTAGTTGTAGGGTCTATTTTTAGCATGATAACTAGATTTGATAATCAAGTGTCGTCCTGATCATATCAAAACTTATCAGACTGCGATGAAAATTTGCATGTATCCTTAAGGTATCTCAAAATACCCTCTCATGTATTTTGAAGCCATTCTGACACTTTTTTAGATATGACCTAGTTTTAGGCTTGTTTGTTGAAATGTTCCCATAGTCAAGTGGTGTCTTGGGTACTGCCGGACTAGGTTACTACTGGCTCTCTATTTATTAGTATCGAGCATATGTCAAAAATGATGTATAACAGTATTATCTCTTGCAATCCAAAATTGTAATCTTCAATGTGGTGCTGGATTTTTACTTGTCTAGGCTGTGGATGTAGCTCTACGGTGTGAACCACGTAAATCATGTGTTGATGATGTGGTTTTTATGTTTGCTTTATTTCTTGCACTCACTTTCAAGTTGTATTAATCTACTTCGCATTTAGCCAATTGTGTTAACAATCTTGAATGGGATCTTGATATTAGGGATTCCTGATTCTACAATCCAGGGGTTAACGAGAATCCTATAATTAGGATATCAGAGCACAAGGTGTGTAGGGTCTAAGGCTTGCATTAAAAAAAAGATGAATGGTGGAGTTTGATGGAGACATGTTTTGAGGTAAAGAAATATAGAGTAAAGTGTTTGTGAAAATTCCACAATGGAGGCAAGTGAGAAGAAATCAAAAAATGTATTCAATCGATGTCGACAAGATAAATTTGGTGATTTTGCTATAATGGTAGAGATTGTTAGGTTTGGTGAAAGTCAAAATCACCGCACTTATGTTCATTTAAAAAATTGAGGGTATTATGGGAAAAGAAAAAAAGGGCTACCTTAGTGAACAAAAAAGAAGCCCAAGTAATCTCTATAAAAGAAGGCTAAGGAAGACATAATACCCATCCTTTGGTGGGTCACCCCTTTAGGGGTTATGGGAGGAGAGCTCCAAGATGGAGATGGGTCTCCAAGAGAGAGGAGGTATTCCCATGAGATTTTGGGTTAGTTAAGTTTTTACTACTGGATAGAGAAAATCTTTTGGTTGCTCTCAAAGTAATTTTTCTGATAGTAATATAGTGGTGGAAAAGATGTTGATCGATGGTGTAATTCAGTCAGGAGATCGGGATTAGAAGGGAAGATCGATGAGGTCTTGTTACCGATGTTAAGAGAGAGGTATTGTCTCTTGTAACTCATAATTATAATCTTCATTGTGATAATGACTTTCTGCTTCCGAGGTTGTGGATGTAGCCCTACAGGGTGAACCACGTAAATAATGAGTTGGTAGTGTGCTTTTAATGTTTGCTTTATTTATTGCACCCGATATCTAGTTGTATTCATCTACTTCACATTTAGCCAATGGTATATACAATCTTGAGTGGGATCCCGATATTTGAGATTCCTGATTCCGCAATCGAGAAGTTACTGAGAACCCTACAAACCACACCTCTGGTAGCTGTAATGAGAAAGATTAGGTCTTTGAGTCCACCATTCCAAGGACAGGATAGATCCAGTAAGTCATTGAATATAGCTAACACCCTACCACCCGGTATCTTCCATAGTGCGACACTACATCTTTAGTACTTGCGGCACCAGTCCAAAAGCCCAACGAAGTCCTCTCTAGGTGGACAAAAGGAACATACCAGAGCTTTAGACAATAACTCCCTCCAAGGTGCTATGGCCGAATCATTAATTTGAACAACCCTTATCTTGTCTTGAGTTGGCCTGCTCTGTACTTGCCCAAATGTCGTTTCTGGTCTGGCTGTTGTCTCCAACCTCGAGAGCCATTGGATCTCGTCGTCTCCAAACTGTTTCTGGCCTGGCTGTTGTCTCCGACCTCGAGAGCCGTTGGATCTCGTCTCCTCCAAAACTGAAAGTGCCAATCTTTGTTGCTCGTTCCTCACTGTCACTCTCATCTCTGTGTCTCAAACTTTCAATCTCCATCTTACTCTACTTTTCTATCTCTATCTCAAGAGAGACCTACCTCTTTCTTAGGAGACAAGTATCTCTGCTCCCTATCTCTGCCTATATCTCTTTTCCCACTTTCTCGGTCTTCCTTGGTCTCTCTTTGTATTGCATGTCTATTGTGCATTTGTTTCCTTTCTCTCTCTCAAGAGCATCGTCTCAAAATCTGAATGGGAGTGGCCAGGTTCAGCCCCAACAGGCGGGATGGCAATCTAGTTCTATAAATGCTCCAAATCGCCAAAATCCCCCACCTTCTAAATTCTTTTGCTATCTATTTATGTATGTAGAACTCATAGCACCAATCCGAATCTCCAATTGATGGGATTAGACAACAGGATGCTATTTTGGATCTGTTTTATATAAGACTCCCTTCACCCCTCCTCGTGGTGTACGTACAAAAAAAAAGTCTATGGACTCGATCAGACCCGGGACTCAACAGATCAAGATATAGATCTAAATTTTTGACCGGAGTACTATTCAGGGTAAGGATCCGGCCCATAAACAACCCGTTGCCACCCATATTGATAGATAGGCTTCTCTCTCCTCACCTTTTCTCTTTGTGTAGCACCATCAAACTATGTAGAAAAAGGTGCATCGAATTCGTTTGGGCCTTGGCCCACAACAAAGGAAAAGCTACCGTTGCCTGTCTGCCGTTTGAAAGTACGCCCCCGCAAAGTCGTCCCACTTCTAACAGCTGTGTACATGTCGTAACGGCCCTCGCAACGGATGAAAGAAAGTGGTGGATGGGGGAATTTTTGGTTACTCTTTAGCACCGGCTTCCCTCCAAATATTTTCAATTCATATACATATAGACCAATTATATGGAACGGGAAAAAAAGATGGGTTGAATGTTTAACGGATATTTAGATTGATACTTACCCCGAAATTTCTTTTGGTCAATAGTTTCTCTAATTCATAATTATGGAAAAGGTTAAAATAACGTATTGAAAAAAAAAAGTAAAGCGTGCGGTTTGTATAGAGCCAAGGCTCTAAACAAACAAATTAGAGCCTACCTTCAAATCGTATCACGAAATGTAGTTTCAATATTGAAAATATTTGTACTAGCCTTAAAATATATTTTCATCTTTAATTATAAAATTTATAGCTTAAAAAATAGAGTAGATCAAGCGCATCTATGAATACTTGAAAAATCTTAAAAATTGTTGGTCCAAAAATGCATCATAAGATGTACTATTTCCAAAACTTTAAATCGATTTCTTTTCATATCCGTACATCTTGATGACGAGATGATCAATTTAAGAAAATTTGGGCATCAAAACTTCTTCTAGTAAAATTTTTGAGGTGGGCTCTAATTTAATTATTTAGAGCGTAAGCTATATATAAAACTTTCCCAAAAGTAAAAGATGTGGCTTGTATAGAGCCGAAGCCCTAAACAATCAAATTAAAGCCCACCTTCAAATAGTGTCGAGAAATGTGATTCCAATACTGGAAATATTTGACTAAGCTTAAAATATATATTCATCTTTAATTATAAAATTTAAATCTTCAAAAATAGTATAGATCGAGCATATCTATGAAAACTTGAATAACTTAAAAATTGAAGGTCCAAAAATGTGTTACAAGATGCACTATTTCGAAAACTTGAAATCCAATTTTCTCTCAAGTCCATGTATCTTGATATCGAGATGATCAATTTGAAGATATTTAAGCATTGAAACAACCTCTTCTAGTGAAGTTTTTGAGATACGCTCTAATTTGATTGTTTAGAGTATATAAACTTTTCCCAAAAGTAAATTCTCATCTCAACTCATTGAAGATTCTAGTTTTTATATTAAAATACCTTTAAATTGACCATATTGACCTTGAGTTATGAATAAAAAAAATTAAAATTTCGAGCATTAAAAATAGTACATACCATAATGCATTATCTAGATTGTCCATTTTTGGTGTTCACATATCTACAAAATCTACATTGTGTTTTTAGCTACAAATTTTACAACCACGAGTAGAAATACATTTTTGAGCCACTATAGGAATTTCCCATTAGATTTTGAAGCAAGGCTTTACTTTTCTTCATAAGGCTTAGGCCATGTAGAAACTGCATCCATTAATTATACGCCACTAAGTCTAAAATTAATAAACTAGGAGAGTTTCTTTGGTATTTCCCGATAAATAATCTTCAAAATAAAGTAACCGGCACTTAACGCGTTATAGGTAAAACCTGATCTTTGGATCCCGTCCAAAAGCAAAAGAGAAAAAAAAAAAAAGCGACATTGATCAATCTCATACTAGCAACCACCCAACCAGAAAGCAAGAAAAAAGTGAACCATATCCTAACTAATCCTCTTACCTTCTTCATATTAAACAACATAATTCAAATGGAACAAATAATAAAACAAATAATTTGAGGAGAGAGAGATTACATGTTAAGTGCACACAGAGCAATCCGGGCCTGCATGCGAATGGAAGTTCAAAGAGACATAAAACCTCTCTCTGAATCGGCTGATGGTTCTCAGCGAGTTACACAAAAACCCACCATTGCTGGGTTCTAATGAGCCACGGCCATGGTCCATACAAGTCAGTCAGGTTTGGGACAGGTCAGGCCTCAAAAGCCATTTATTCGACCCCTTCAATGCAAAAACAAATGATAATCCACTGCTGATGCCTCCTTCAAGCACTAATTAATTCTTTTCCTCTCTAGAACAGCCAATAATGAAGATCAGTAAACTAAAATGTATAATCAGAACCGAACCAGGGTCGCATTTCGAACCCGCCATGTGCTTTTAGAGAGAGGAAACCCCCATGTTCCCTTTCTTCGCTCTCTCTTTCTCTCTCTCTAATTTTGTGTATCCAGTTTCCGATCGACTGGTTTGAACAAGTCAATGTTAGAGATGCATCACCAGCCCCATTCTTTTCCTTTTGTGAAGATTAGAAGCATTAAGCTGATGTAGTATTTGGCTCTGAGGTGCCACCAGGTTGTGCAGAATGTGGCTGAGAAGACCCAGTCCCCGTGGCCACTGTTACGCCACCTGCATTGCCCCACCACAAACTGTTGCTCATTTCAGTGCTTCCATGGATAAGAAGGTTAGTGATGAACTTTATGATGTTCAATAGGCGAGAGAAACATTAGAGAGAAAATGGATCCAGAATATATTCATAGTTATAGATGGGAAAGAAAAGGAAGAATAAATATTTGTTTTCAGGTTCCATGGATGAGGGAGAAAATTAATAATTTTGTTTTCTCTTCTTGGATGAGAGAGTGGCAAATGAAATTAGGGAAGATGAGTAGTATTCCCTCCAGTGAAAAGGGTTTTTTATAACAGAAGCTGATGGGTTTTTTTATCACAGAAGCTGACCTGTTGTGGTTGATGTAATAGCGTTGGGTGCAGAGAGGAGGCCAGCTCCATATTGATGAGGTATGAAGGGGTAATGCATCATATGTGGATATTGCATCGCGTGGCTGTACCCTCCTCCCCCACTTCCCCCTCCTCCGCCTCCGCTGCTGTTTCCTCCTCCGACTCCACCGCCACTGCTGCTTGTCGGGGCGTATTGAGCATAGTAAGGATAGAATGCAGGGCTTGGGATCATGCCTGGCCCTCCATAGTACTGAGAGAACTGATGACCCCCATATAGATTGTAATAGCCCTGCACCAATTACATTGGTTTTCCATCACTTCTCTCTCTAAAATCCAAAGGCAAACCAGAAAAGTTTAATGACCCAAATTCCTATGAAAACCCAATTTCATCATTTTGTTTGTGTGGTATTATTGATGGATGAATTAGAGAGTTTCATGGAAAAGGAAACCAAGATACCAACCATGGGGTACATGCTCTCCTGAGAATAACCTGTATAGCTGGAGGAGAAGAAAGAATGAGAAGAGAGGTATGTGATAATCCTAGAGAGAGAAGAAGAAGAAGAAGGAGAAATGGGGCATTGGTATATCAAGCTTACCCATAAGTCTGATAAGGAAAGCCATGCTGTAAAGCATATTGGCTTGGGTGGGGATAAGCAGCTGCAGAGCCGTGATAGGCCGGAGGGGCTGATCCTGCCGCCCCTCTAAACCTTCCTCCTCCGCCTGTAACCAATGCAATAGATTTTTCAAATGAATCAGAGAGAGATTATGTTCCAATAACATCTTCAATGCACAAGATTTCAATAAATCTGAAAACAGAGGGAGAAAATAACAGGATCAGGAGGAGACATTTAAGAAAAATTAGAAGGAAATTATAGAAATGACCCAGATCTAGAGAGAGAAAGAATCATCCATTTTTTTTAATGCTTCATGATCTGAACTTGTATGTGGTCACTCCTAATATTAACGAAGAACTGTTTTTTATTAAGGGATCTCTGCCATTGCCACTTTGCTTCATTTCAGAAAACCCACCCCCCAACCAATGTAATGTATAGAGAGAGAGAATGGGACCAAAAATGGGTGAAAAACCGTGTTGGGGAGTGGACGGTCGGGATCGAGTCACGCCCATCGATGCAAGGTTGCAGTTCGCCCTCCGGCCGTCGATCACCGGTGAAGGATCGAGGCATGCCCTCATGGCAGCATCGGCATCCTTGAACGTAACCTGCAAAAACCTCAACTACTGAGTTTCTCTCTCTTCTCTGAAAAAACCCATCACTTTCTCTCTCATCCCATTAAACAAACCCCAAAAGACGAACAACTCTTACGAAGCCATAGCCTTTGGATCTGCCTGTATTTTTATCAGTGATCACCACGGCCTCTTGGATCTCTCCAAACTGCTCAAAATAACGCCTCATGGTCTCTCTCTGTGTCTCCCATGCCAGCCCTCCAACAAAAATCTTGGTATAAGTGGTGTCCCCAAATTTCGCTCCATTGTTACCTGCCATTTGTGATTGCCTTTGCTGAGACATCCAAAACCCAATTCTCCGATCTCAAACCCCCACTCTCATCACCTACACATCTCTAGAGAGAGAGAAAAAAACAGGAGTCCTTACAGATCAGCTCCAGAAAGAGATAGAGAAAGGAGTTGCAGATCTCTAGGGCTACGGGAAAGGAGAGAGAAAGAAGCCCAATGTAGAGAGAGAAAATATAGAAATAAAATATGGAGGGGGGAGCAGTAGGCTCCAGTGCGAGCATAGGGGGTCCTCCGATGAATCAACAGTGTTTTTCCTTCTTTTTATCACCACTTTCCATACTTATATGACAGTGGACATCTGCTTCGCTGTCTTCAACCTTCTATTTTCTTCAACGTATTTAATTGTGGGTGGGGCTGAAGATCCCTTGACCGTTCTCTCTTTCTCTCTCATCTCAATCCTATTATTCAACTCTGCAACAATTCTGAGTATATAACCAAAAAATGTACAGCACGCCAGGCCCAAGCTCCAATCACCGGCTGGGTGGGCTCAAACGAAGAGAGAGAAAGGGCTTAATATGATACGAATGACAAAGTATTTGATGGAGGTGACAGTTGAGAGAGAAAAAGAGTTGTTGTTTTAGAGAGAGAGAAAGAGAGAGGCAGTGAGGGGAGACAGTTGAGAGGCTGCGATGTCGTTGCTCGCTTTTCTCTCTCTAGGGGGTGGGTAATTGCGCATTGAGTGGCGTCTTCAATGCTTAATTTGGGTTAGCGTGAGTCAATTAACGCCACCCTCTCGCATTCTCTCTCTTCCTTTTAGGTTTTTGATTATTAAAACACAATAATAATAGTAGGGCGAAAGCGAAACATGAGTGTCGCTGCCACCCAAGGGCTTAGACTACCAACATCGGTCAAACCTGCTTCTCTCTCTTTGCCTTTCCTACATCTTTGCCTATGCCTAATCCTCTCTCCACCCCATTTTCTAGAGCAGGTAGTGGATCGGGCCTGGTCCGACCCTAAAGAAGTAGGGCCGAGACTATGAATGGTGGCCTCAGAACTGAATGCAAGTGCGAGCCCGGCCTGATTTTTTTTCTTTTTTCTTTTCTATGTTTTTACTGTTTATGTATGGACTCTAAAAATTATCCTAAAATATGAAATGCTTTATTTATATAGGTGAAAATTACGAAGAAAGTCTATTTGTTTTTTTTTTTCAAAATTATCCCTGTGAGTATGAAGATATCTTGAGACCGATTTTTTTGCTTTTTCATTAATATGACAGTGCCTTAAAACTTGAAGCACAGCCCTACTAATAAAAAACTAAAAATAAATAAAATAAAATTTGGATTGAGAATTCTATCCTTAAATTTAAGGGTTATTTTGAAAAAAAAAAAAGATGGTTGACTTAACTTCTTTGTAATTTCTGCCTATAAATAGAATGTTGCATATTTAAAAAAAAATTAAATTAAATCCCTACATAAATCACTCTCATATTTTTCTTGCCAATTTCTTTTTTTCTCCTTTATTTTTCTACATTTGTTTTTGGAGCCACTCAGCCCAACTGGCATGACCTAACAGTGCTAGCACCGGATATGAGCCAGCCCCATGGGGACAAGGGCCGAGCTAGGCTAAGGTGGACCAGCCCATTGTCACAGTCAGCCGTGACTGCAAAAAGCCCACATGTTCGAATTGCCTACAGGAGCGGCATGCTAGCACACGTTCTCCCCACCGTCAATGGTACCTTCACCTCGCGCACGAGGGCTCATTATCGCATCATGTATGTAGTTTGCAAGACCCACCTCGACGTAGGCAGACAATGGGAACGGAAACGGGGGGCCTTTCCACACGCAATTCTCTTTCGTATTCAGGTCCATATTAGACCTAACCCCTTTGTGTGGTTGTGTTTGTCAAGGCTGTAACTTTCAAACCATCAAAATAAACTAAGGTGTACGCCAAATTTTATCATAAGTTATAATTTTAGTGTCAACTTCGAAACAACTTTTTACGATAGATTTTTTAGGTGCAACTTAATTCTACAACAGAAGGTTGCAACCTTATATAAACTTTTTTATTTTTTTTTTATAGAAATTCAGTACTTTATTAATCACGATTAAAAAGAAATTAAAAACCGAGACCAAGGTCTCAGTTAAAGAAGTTCCACCTTTGACAAAGAAATCCACCAACATATTGGCCTCACGAAACACATGCACAAAAAAGAACAGAAAAGACCTAAACAAATCCTAAATTTGTAGTAGAATGGATTGAAATTCTCAAGGCGATTTTTGCTCCTTATTGCACCACTTAATGACATTCAAAAAATCTCCTTCCACAACACAGTAACACCTCAAGTTCCTTACCACGAAAAGTTTTAAACCATTGAAAAGAGGCATAAGTTCTGCACAGTTTGCAGTTTTCTCTCCCAAAGGGTCTGCATAAGAAAAGATAATAGATCTGTTCCAATCCCTCACAACTCCTCCAAAACTAGCAAGACCGGGGTTTCTCAATGAGCTACCTCAAAATTAAGTTTAAAAACCCTCCTAATGGGGGAACCTATCTCCTCTTAGGCCAACACGTAAAAGAGCTTAACTGGAAAGAATTGATAAGTTTCTCCTAACATCCACTTCTAGAAAATGTTTCCCAGCTTTTGCAACTGAACATGAGAGCCAAATGGAATGTAAAATTTTCTCCGGAATGTAAAATATTCTCCATAATTCTCTCCACATGCATGCAAATCCCATCAAACACTCTTTTATTTCTTTCCTTCCAAACTTCCCATAAAATCAGACCTCTCGCAATTTGTTAGATCATCACTCCTGTTTATGGAAGCATAGATACTGCTAAGTTTGAAATAATCCTCTTGACTTTCAAAGGCATAACCATAGCAACCCCAACTTGGTCAAAAAAGCAGTGCCAAATTTTGAAACGTAAGAGAACAATGGAGAAACATACGAGCCCCTGTTTCAGCATCATTCTTACACAACAAGTAAATATTAGGCAAAATCTTACATCTCTTAATAAGATTATCAACAGTGAGAACCTTATCTTGCACTGCAAGCCATACGAATGCTTGAATCTTAAGCGGCAATAACCACTTCCAAATAATGACTATTTCAAGCAAAGTACATCTCCAACGGTCATGGAACAATAACTTATACATAGACTTCACCGAATATAAGCCATCTGAGTCAATCTCCCACACAACTTGATCAGAAGCAATTTACGGAATATACACTTCCTAAAAGTGCTAACAGTCCAACATATTCCTGAAATATCTGATCCGAAATTCTATTATAGGGGAGAACAATATTCCAAGCCACCTTATTACTCCTAATTTCAAATATATCAGAAAATTAAGGCTGTAGGGTTATCCATGTGCTGAAAAAGTAATGGGAATACATATTTCAGCAGAGAAGAACCTATCCATTTATGATGCCAAAAGTAGATATTGCAACCATCTCCTAAAGTCCACCAAATGTCCCTATGTATCAAAGATTTACATGAATTAATGGATCTCCAACAATAGGACATTTGTCTTGTGTTATTTCTCATTCCAACCCACATTTTAAATCTATCATCTCCATACTTAGCAGAAATCACTTGATACCACAGCTGGTCTTTGATGTTTAAGCTTCTCTACCACCATTTACAAAGTCAGGCCTAATTCACAAGTTTAATCTTCCTTATTCCCAATCCTCATTCATTCCTAGGTGTGCACACCTTATCCCATGGAAAAAGATGGTACTTTTTGGAGTCCTCATAAGAACCCCAGAGGAAGTTCCTCATCAAAGACTCAATTTTCTTGGCGACTCGAGGAGGAATCTGCAATAAAGATATATGGTAAATTGGTAGGTTTGATAGGCATGCCTTTACCAAGGTAATCCTACCTCCCAACAAGGGGTATTTATACTACCACAAATCAAGCTTAACTTATATCCTCTGGATCACCTTGTCCCAAATAGCCATAGGTAATCTTCATCTGAAATTAGCATACCCAGATACATAATTGGAAAAGCTTCCACCTTACAGCCCAAAATCCCAACAATTTCACCGACCAAAGAGTCATTACAATTAATACCAATCACTGCTAATTTTCCAAAATTTACCTTAAGTCCCAAGGTCACTTCACAACAATTCAAGACATAGCAATATTTTTAACATGGTCACCTATAGCCTCACCAAAAAGCAATGTATCATCCGCATATTGTAGATGCGAAATACAAGGACCATCATTAGGCATATGAAAGCCCATAAAATGGCCTTTAGCTTCAACATTTCGTACAAAACAACTAAAGCACTTGGCACAAATGGTAAACAAGAAAAGGGACAATGGATCACCTTGGCGAAGCCCCCGCGAGGCTCCAAAAAAACTAGATGGGCTTCCTTTGAACAATATAGAAAATGGGCAAAGGATAAACATCCATAAATCCAACTCCTCCACTTCTCACCAAAGCCCATATTTTTCATAATTTCTAAAAGAATACTTCCTTCAACCATGTCATAAGCTTTTCCCATGTCCAATTTGATCACAATCCTAGCACTACCACTCATTATTCTTGAGTGAATGCACTCTTGTGCAACCAAAACACTATTAGTAATCATTCTGTCCTTGATGAAAGCAGATTAGGGCCCAATGATAATATCCGGTAAAACTGCTTTAAGTCTATCAGTCAGTACCTTAGCGATAATTTTATAGAGACTCAAAAAAAATGGGCCTAATATCACTAAGGATCGAAATCACAAATGTTTTGGGAATGAGGGCTATATAAGTGGAATTAACAACTCCAAAGAGCTCACCTCTACACAGGAAACCACGCACCATCTCCAACTACTCACAGCATACCAAATTTCAAAACTTGTGAAAAAATAAGAGTGGAAAATAGTCAGGCCCAGGTGCCTTATCACCAGGAAGGCCATATATAGCTTTTTTCAGCTTTTCTATAGAAACATCTTTCTCAAGTCAGATTTGACGGAAGACATTTAAAGCCCACTCTGGTTAATCGAGGTGTAGCCTTTACCACCGTTGAGAATGCTTTTTTGACATGACTAATGACATCATTAGACATCCCATTTGCATCTTCAGGGTCAACTCCTTGTATCAAAATCTTAGAGACATCATTCTGGTGTCTCCAAGCATTTGCAATGGCATGAAAGAAAATTGTATTTGAATCCCCTTCCTTTAGCCATTTGACCTAGAATCTTTGCTTCCAATACACCTCCTCTATCCTTCTAAGCTCATGTAACTCATTTAACTTAGAGTTGCTCTCCAGAATCATCTCATTGGACATAACTCCAACATTTTGAACCAACAAATCCACTTCTATTAAGCAACTAAGCACTTCATCAATTTTCCTTTTCACATTAAATCCCCTATCACTTTTCCAAGCAATAAGCTCATGCTTCACGCTCGAAAGCTTTTTATGGAGTTGAAAATCCAAAGAGCCAAAGGAAATAGAATTTTCTCAAGCATTTTTTATAAGGTCAACCATCTCATTCTCAGCAAGCCAACCAACTTCAAACCTAAATGGTTTAGGACCTTCAAAAATAACTTTAGAGCACAGTAAAATGGGAGTATGGTCAGAGGAGAGTCTGGGTAAAGCCTTGACTGAACCAAGGGAGAAGAATTCAAACCAATTGTCAGAAACAAAAAATCTATCAAGTTTAGACATGG